AAAAAAAAAAAAAAAAAAAAAAAAAAAAAAAAAAAAAAAAAAAAAAAAAAAAAAAAAAAAACATGGAATTTATACAACAGATTATGTACATATATATATATATATCTCTTGATAGGTACTGATTTTTATTAATAATAAATGCGCAATTTTAAAGTTTGATAGAAACTTTACCCGCACGTGAAGAAGAAGTGTAGAAAAAGTTTAAACATACATAATTGATACATCAGTGTACGAAAAAAAAAAAAAAAAAAAAAACGATGAGGTATTTTTTTTTTAAAATAAAATATTAAAAATTGAAATACAAGTTTTTATTATTTTAAGATTCTTCTTTTTTTTTTTTTTTTTTTTTTTTTTAAAGTTAATATAGAAGCATAACGTTTTAAAATTTTTCAAAAGTTATAATTTTTTTTTTATCCATGGTGTATATGAACATGAATAAACAAATATAAGTGTAGTAAATAAAAGTAAATAAGTAAGAATACATTTTTATATGTTTACTTATTTTAGCTATTCCAATTCCATGTGTATCACATTGCAGTTTCTTTTTCTTTTTTTTTTTTTTATTTTAAAAATATTATCATGATAAACACATATGTACAGCTTTTAGTGCACACATCAAACTTATTAAATTAAGCATTGCGTTCAAAAAAAAAAAAAAAAAAAAAAAAATCTTTCTTCTGCACCCCAACGGTTTTTCTACATGTTAGTTTTTGTGTGGTTTAAAGTTTACAGACCATTTTGAATTCTTTTCGTTGGGTGCTCTAAAGAGGAGAACACGAGGTAGCACTGTTTAGCTAAAAGGCGAAGCGCTGTTTTTGTTTTATAATATACATATGGTATCTTTTTATGTGGGTACGGGAATGATTTGTAATATGTCCTTATCCAAAAAGGAAAAGTGACCCATATGACCAATTTCGGGGGTCTGCCATAAGGAATATAACTCAACATGGTGTGATATGTTACGGGTGAAAACCTGAATATGCAATTGTGAGGACATCAAATCACCATTCTTTCATTCACGTGTTGGATGTAGTTTTCTACAAGGGTGAAAAGCAACCTGTGTGGGGCAACTGCGTAAGGGATACAACTTTTTACGCATGAAAAGGTTTACCATAATTGTATTTGAGACCATATGTACGTGTGCGCTGGGGGGGAGGGGATTGGACGCGGGGTCCTACTTGCTGCCTAACGAGCAACGTCCTTGCGCAGTCATACAACGTTACGCAAAAATGTGCAGTGTACAAGTGTCCTCGTGCGGGTATGTGCACATAGGCACGACGCTGCTCACGTTTTTTTTTTTTTTTATAAAAAAAGAAAACCCTAATTTTACGACACCTTTAATCCTTCATGCTAAATTCGCACAATATGGGAAAGGGCCATTTGAACATTCTACAAAATTGTTAAAGAGCATTACAGTGGAGCAATATTTAAAAAAAAAAAAGGAACATGTAACACAAGAATACGTAAGGCGTTACGCCAAATACATAAGCAGGCACAAATGTAAAAACGCAGAGGGGAAGGGAACATGAAAAAATACTTACAGTACGATTGATATTCCTAGTCACGAAAAATAAGACTCAGCGGTTTACAAAAACTTTAAAAACGCAAGGGAATATTATTAACTCAAAGATCATTCCATCTCGCCGTACAAATTGTCCACTGTAGAAAATGACAAATGATTTACAAAAAAAGAAAACGAGAAGGGGGGGAGTGGGAAAAAGACCCCAAGGGCGGGGCAGGTCCAAAGGGGAGAAAACACAAAAAACAGAGTGGCACAAAAAAAAAAAAAAAAAAGGTAGAAAAATGAACAGAAACAAGCGGAGGGTGATGAAGGGGTAAACGATGTGCCCTAATTTCGCAGAGACAGGAATATGTTAATTTCGAGGGATCTTCTTCTATCAGGTCCGGTGGCCTACAGTGGGGAGGGGCATATGTACACGTGTATGTAAATATATACACACAGGTACGTAGGTACATACATACGCATATAGGTAAGAGGCATATTATCGCCACGCGCTCTCTTAAACGGCTGCAACCGCATCGCTCGTCCCATTACCTTCAAGTTTTTGTATCGTATGTTGTGGTTCATTTCCTTGGTCTCCTTTTTCAACAACTCCAACAGAGTGAACGCCTTGGCAATTCCATGTTGCTTTCCTACGATTTTTACATTTCCCTTTGGGAAAAAAAAAGTGAGCGGTAGGTTTATAATGGAGCGGGGGTCGGGTCAAGAACGGGGGTATTGTACACCGAGGGTTGCGGTTTAGCATGCATGTCCGCGTTACAGCGTGACAGCGTGACAGCGTGACAGCGTAACAGCCTAACGCTGCGTACGGGTATGTAGTAAAAATGGAGGCAAATTTTTTTATCAAATGGGCGTTTACCATTTTCACCCTTTCCAGACATCCCGCAACATGTTTTTGTACGTTCTCCGACTCATTTTTAACAACTATTTCGTAACAGTTTTGCTCCTTCATTTATTCCTTTCTCTTTGGTGGCCTCTCCACCTCGGCTTGGGTTCCAAAAGAGTGCTCGCTACGCCTCGCGACGAATATGTACACACATAAGGACGTACATATATATATACATATACGTATAAACTTGTACGTAGGCGTTTTTTTTTTTTTTTTTTTTTTTCGCTTGGTAAATTGGGGTCTTCCCTATCGTC